TTTCCAATAATTTGTATGATGTCGTATTGCACTTTAAATCCTTCAGTAAGTACCAATCGATCAAATAAATTAATTAACTCGATAAAAATATATTCATCAAGAAATGTGTTTCCTGCGACTACTGGTCGCAAAAAGGCTTTAAGCGCATCAATACAGGTACGAACAATCTTTTGATTTTCAACATTATTTTCAACTTTATTACCAATACCACTGCTTCTACTACTTCCACCAAATGTATTTGATAATGCTTCAACACAAAGTCCGAAGAGTATAAAGAAGTATTTTGCAGGCTCTTTTTTAAATTCTGGTTCTTTCTCGTGAGAAAATGCAGTAAAATCGTCAGAAACCTCGTTATTGCCATCACCAAAATCATCAAATTCATCGTCATCACATTTGTTGATATCATTTGTATTGTCATTTGTTGTAATTTCTTCTCCGTTAAGCGCAAAAATAATATATGGATTTTCCTTTTGGACCAAACTTGCGACGGCTCCCAAAATAGTTAGCCATGACATATTGTAGTACTGTCAAGCAAATATAGATTAACACTGCTCATAAAATGCCCAACTTTAAGTTTGGCCAAATAATCATCGAAGAAATGAAATAAATATTTAAATTACCGGAAGAATAACTTCTCTAGTTAACCCACTATACATAGAATCAAAAACTTCAGTTTGAGAGGTACTCTGCATTGGCCCAGTGCCAATAATATTGGCTTGGGCATCAGTAATATCAGGTTCGATCTGCACTCTGGCATATTCTTTCAATGTTGAAATCCATAAAGGACAAAGTAAGGGTAAATTTCTGTATTACATTAAAGTTAAGATAAATATTCTGAAGAATATTATCGAAAACGACTTCGTGAAACCAATTTATCAAACATATTTAAGGATACGGTTGAACAACTTGAACCAGATAAGTTTGTTTAGTGCTGGCGACTTGAAGTTCTGCCCAAGCATTCAATACTGAAAGTTTAACCATTATTGCAGCATGAGGACTTAAATCTTTAAAATCACCGACTTTGGTCACACTTGAATTATCTTTGTATGGTTTTATACGTAAATAAAAAATCCAATCAAACAAAGAAAATGTACATTTGTGATGTAATGCTTAAATATTTGACAATACCTTTACAATTTGCTAAGGCCGTGGTTAGTAGTTTCAATATACGTCCCATTCGATGTAACTCTTTCACAATACCACTTCCAACAAATACGGCACATACTTTGACAGCTGCTGAAAGGATTTCTGGAGATGAATCAGCCGTAAAAGCAGGCGTAAGAGCCGCGCCTATTTGTGCCTATGTTATTGCACTCATTTAGTAAGTAAAATAGAATTGTTAAAATATCTTGCAAGAGAATACAGACTTGATACTGTTCCAAAAGAGCCGCTTCCTCAAAATCTGGATCAGGAGTTGCTGAAAATTTCTAATAACAGCATTTTGAATAAGAATATAATATACGTAATATAAAATAAACAAAATTAGAAAATTAATCAAACCTCAATCAAATCTCTTAACAATGTTAAACCTTCTAATCTCATTTCACCCACTACAGCTGTTGAAGCCGTAAAAGCCATTTTAATAAGCTCTGCTACTTTTAAAACTAGATAATCTTTACCAGCTTGTTTGCCCTTTTTAGCAATTGCAAGATCAAAATGATCTTTATCCCCACTAGCATGGATAATTTCAACAACGTGGTGAAGGCATTGAAGTGCAAAAAGTTGTGTTCGCCATCTGGGTGGTATTTGCACGGTGTCAGATGAGAGGTGGGTTTTTTTCTCAAGACTCCGACGTCTCTGTGCAGCAACATTAACACCGGAAGATTGTTCAATACCAAATCCTTCATCTTCGTCACCACCATCGCCAGTAATATCTAACGTTGGTGGCTCAATAGGTGCACCTGCACTTGCTACAGATCCAGTTTTTGACATAACCTTACGACATAATTCAACCCATGATGAAGGACTTTCAAGAGCCGTCTGACTTAACCAACTTTTAACAATATCTTTCACACCATCAACTTTAGGGTCTGTGTCTAACAGCGAAAACAGCTGATTATCCAATCCAGGAGCGGCAATCTCAAACACATGCTTAGCATTACGTTGGACTAATTGGTAGAGACATGTAATAGCAACTTCCTTCAAAGGAAAATGCATACTTGAAAATTGAAATTGCAAGAATGCAACTAATCTTGGTAAATCTACGTATTGTTGTGCAAGCATAATGAAATGTTGGAGGCAACGTATTGATTCAACAACAACAAATTGATCGTCATCATTTCGAAGTTCAATCACCAAATTTAAACAGAGATTTCTAACTTTCGAATTTGTTTGTAATTCTGGTCCCAATGTACCAATCAGCCCATATATAATTTTACCAAATTGCTGATATGCGGATAAGCCTGACCCAACATTCGTAGTACCAACCGTACCACCGCATGGTTCGTGAGTATCAGCCATATAAAGTTTAGCAATAATGCCTAAAGTACTACTCACATATTGTGAAAACATTGGTCCAGCAGAGTCAATAATCTTTGCTAAAGCATGAAGTGCCCAAAAATGTACAATGGGATGTGGATCACTGCTAAGCGATAGTAAAATTCCGATCAAAGTTTTAAGATGCCCTCCTGCAGCCATACCACCAACATGACTATAAATACTACCAAGAGCCAGTGCACTTCCAGCACGCGTGTCTGGATCACGGTTGTTGACCACTTGGTCGACGAGAAGTTGCATTTGTGTTGGAACCATATTACCACCTACAACACTCAACAGACGCCCTAATGCATCGCTAGCAGCATGACGCAAATATGCATCTGGATGAACTATCGCCTCCTATATCATTATTAGAAAACAAATTAAATGTTGTAAACGTTGATAATTCATAGGATTTAATTGAATTGATAACTTGATATATGAAACAAACTTGTAATAACTCCATAGCTAAAGCCCCAACTTTTTTATCTGCTATACTGGGTACTGAAGCTTCTCCTTTCTTTCCAGAAATATTCATGATATTTTTGAATATGGCCAATAAACATATAACCATATTTACTTGAAGGGCCATCTTTCTTCCTGGGCTTTTTTCCAATTTTGGATGTCTCACTGCTTTAATCAATTGTTCCAAATATGATTCTTGCACAAGCGCGCTTTGTAATGGAAAAATTAATGCAAAAAGATCAATGCTATAATCCACTAACGCTGATGCAGCTGGAACAGGCTTTGGTATTTGATATGTGACTGAATTCACAGGTGATATCCAGTATGTAGTGTAAATCATTATGGAATCATATTCTGGAGCCCCAATTATTGGTTGTTCAAGCTGTAAAATATTATTTAATATTAATTTAAAACATTGAACATGAAATTATATACTCTATAACTGCGAAATAACGCATCCCCACCCGTTATTTTATCCACTCATGCGTCGCTGGTGCGTTGTACACTTCGAACAAAATATTATATTTTTAAAAGATGCAATTTTTAAACTAATGTTCATGAGCGTTATTTCACGGTTATACAGTAGCATAATAGCCAACCTGCAATTCCGGGTGTGAATTTTGAAAAACCCTGCAAGCAATGCATTACCTGATTTTCTAGACGGCTTTCAATCAGATCTCGATTAAGCCAATCTTTTACCGCAACTCCGCGGCTATTTTCACCCTGATCACTATCAATCACATTTGCAATGTCAACAGTCATTCCCTGTAACCTACTACTAACACCATAGGCATATTCATCACCAGTAGTCCAGACATTGGTAAAAGATCCTGACACTGCAGCAATAGCAGCTGTGATGGCAGAACCAATGTTTTTTTCCGGATCCGCAAAATTTGATAAACACATTTTCAGGAGTTGTGAACTAAGATTATCGTAGGAAGATATCGGCCTAATTGCAACAAAACATTGGAGTATTCTCCGTTTTAACATAATTTCACGGTCAGAAAATTTTAATGAAGTTGAAGGTAGTTGTTGCGCAACTGATGTAGTAGAATTGCTTTGTGTATTGACGTTATGAAATGAAGTACCAACTAAAGTTGAAAAAGCTAGAGTATTGCTCAACAGAGCAACCAGTCGTTTAGCTACATCAGGAGTTATCAATTTAGAATTGTGTAATACACAGCTAAGCATAGCTCCTAAAACACATTCTCGTACATGTAACATGAATGCCAACTCAGATTCTGTACGATTAGACACGAAATCTTTAGAAACTGGTTTGGGTAAGGCTGTTTTCCACAACAAAAGTAATTGTGGAAGATGTAATTTAACAAAATTAGGCCCTAGACACATTAAGGAGCCTATAAGAATCCATGCAACTTGCAAATGAATACTAGCAATTGCAATATCTTTGTTAGTACTCGATTTGATAAGTTGCGTTGAAATAGAGAACACGCGCGCGCTTAATTCAAACGAGACATAAAGTGGCCGAGCAGGCACTACACTTAAAAGTGCTGCTAATCCATAAGCATGACCCAACGCCCGTTTCGGTAAATCCGATGAAATAGAGTGTGTCGTTAAGTTGTTTAAGTCTTTGTTGACAAAGGAAAGAACTTTTGTAATAAGTTCTGATAATTTGACAGGTAAGGAATAACAAAGACATCGAAGACACCATGCAGCTGCAATTTGTACAGAGTAAGTTGGGTGGCTTAAAAGATTAATCAATGGATCTACAAGTACATCCTTTTAGCAATATGATATTATTATAAGTATTTTTTTCTTAATAACGAAAGTAAACTTATTCCGTTTATTAAGATGAAGGTTATATACAGTACCGAAACAGTGCTAGCAGCTCCCCCTAAGTCTAGCAATAATCCAGATATCTCATTGACAGCACATACTAGAGACAATTTCGTTGGTTCAACTTGATTATGTGTCGATGCTGGCCATTGTTTGACCCAATTTTGTACTAACTCTCGAACAGCTGTTACTTGACCTTGTTCACTTAATAGTCTCGTACCAATAACATCACGTAACAGCAGTCCACAATGTTCACGTACATTGAGCGTATCATATCGAGAGTTCATATTTTTGGGATGGGACACGAGTTCTTTCAATAAATGTCGAGCAATCTCCGCATAATTTAGTTCCACATATTTAGTTCCCAATTTAATAAAGAGAGCTGAATAGGCTTCAATAATTGCAGAACGCACCTCTCGCGCAGAATGTTTATTGTAAATTGAGGACAAATGAGATAACATCTCTTCAACAGATAACACAACCTTAACAGGATCCGGTGAAGAGCTGAGAGTGGGACTTCCAGGTGTTTGCGACGAATGCGTATTAGGATGTGACGTTGTGGATGTTTTATTTTTATTCGGAGTTGAAGATGCTAAAAAGTCTACTTCGCCTTGTGTCCCTTCAAGTAAAGTCGATATATATGCAGCTACAGAACGGCGGATAGTTTGATTAGAGCCATCAAGTACTCTGACCATCTGAGACAGTAACTGGTCTAATTCATTAGCCGTAATTGGATAAAGTTGGTGTGTGTATTTAGCTACAGAATGCATGCACTGCAATAGGGAAATGTCAGAAATAATGAGTAATTTGAATATATGCATTTAAAAAACTGTTTTCACAAATACCTTGATAGTTGCGTCTTTGATTATCAGGGCTTTGTCGTTTAATCCGGCCTTTAATTGTTTCATAATGTCCTTTACAAGTAATTCCGTTGCTCCTTTAGCTGCTCCTTCGAGTGTCCTGGTGATTGTATTAATTGCTTCCAGACGAACAATTAGCGGCTAAATATTATCGAAGTGACACAATTAGTATAGTCTTGTTTTGAAGACGAGGTTAAAATGATAATTATTTTTTTTTTAGTACTCTTCTTCAATACTAACGTTGGCTGTATTCTTGGTAGTCTTGAGGCAAATATTGATGGTTTCGGGAAGCAACGACAAAATGCGATCTCCTATTGATTTCATAATAATGCCAATGCAATGTAAGGCTGCTCTGCAAATTATATGAAGATTATTTAATAGGTGTAAAAAAAATTAAGATTTATTGCAAAATAAAGCAAATTTGGTACTTACAATTTCTTTTCTTTTTCACCAGTACCTTTCCCCGCATTGACAAAGTTTTGTAAAGTAGTGACAGTATCAAACAAAGTTCTTGAATCGCCCTTTATATAAATAATTACAAAACATCTTGAAATAAGTTGCCGAACTGGTCTACTGGGTTTTGGTGAGGTGAATGACATAAATTTCAATAATTGCTTTTCAAGGTTGGTTTGAGCTGTTTTCACTGTTTCCTAAAGTATAATTATTTAGGAAAAATGAATAAATAATGGACAGAATTCTACAACACTAAAAGAGAATCAATAATTAAAAATAATTAAGCAAAACTCAAGTAAATATAGAAATATTTAAACCTTGTCAGTTCTTTTTAACTCTCTTTCTAAATTTGCCAACCAATTAAAAACATACAATTCTTGTTTCTCAGGGTTAGCAGCATTAGACAACAATTTCTGCTCGTCAAATTGAAAAGGTTCATTAAAGCTTGGATTTGGTGAATCTCGGCCGGCTGTACCCGACGAGCGTGGAGACGCCATTATTGTTAAAGAAATTTTTTTGCTAGAAGAATTTAACTGGTTTACTGTTGCCGTTTAAAAATTTATTAATACCGATCTACGGACACATGATATGTGCGTATGTCGATATGAATTAATGTATGTGCATGCACACATACAGATACATAACTTAAAATATTTTATCAAAAATTTTTTTCGTGTTCGAAGTAAATTTTAATTTTACTATTTAATCCTTGACAAAAAGGTTATTTCTATATCAATAATTTGTACTTATAACAAAACAATGGCAACTCAAACACGTAATAAAGGAATAACACTGGAGGAATGGGAATCAAAAACCCAACTTACAGAAATACAAAAGCAGAGTGTGCTGGAGCTTCAAGAAGCTTGTGCAGAATTACCATTGCCTGACGGTGTAAGCAAATTATTTTTTTTTCATAATTCATGTAGAATTTTAATTCCAATAATATTGTTATATGAATATTCCAGTTTCTAAACGATCTCGGTCCAGGGACACCTCAGCATACATCATCCCCAACTCCAATGGCCATTAAAGACGGCCATAGATCATC